CGCGCACGGGTCCCCCGCGAGTCGTGTCCCGAGGGGGTCCGGGGCGCCCGCGTCTCGCGACGATACGGCGCCCCCCGTCGGGTCGGACGAATCCGGTTCCCGCGTGAGATTTCGTAGCGCAATATACGGGCGCCATCGAAGAGGTAGGCCCGACGACGTGCCACATGGACACGTCGCCGGGCCGCTCCGCGACTGCGCGATTCACGAGCCGCGCCCTCGCAACCCGCGAGAGGTCGCGTGGGAGCAGGTTCGCCTAGACGCCTTATGCGTCCCGAGTCGGCGCCCGGCGCGATGACCTGAGCCACCGCGTCCGGGTCGTCCGCCTCCGTTTGCCGCTTCCATGTCTACCACGGTCAAATTCCGCCCCGGCGAGCGGGCCCCGGCTGACACCAGAGCCCGCTGCCATTGAGACTAGCATATATACCATTAGTTTACCGTCAGCAGCCACCGCTGCGGACGCATAGCCGCCACTTCTCTGGGTGGGGCCGACAGTTGGAGTTGGATCGGTGTTAGCCGTCGCCGCCCGGGGGCGACGCCGTTTACATCTACCGCTACAAGGAAGCCCCGATCCGTCGGTACGGGCGCCTTTCCACCAGCGCCCGCATCGAAACCACAAATTCCCTAATGTCGGTCCACCCGGCCGCGCCTAGGCGCGACTCGGGCCATCGCCTCCCGGGGACGGCTCGCCAGGACCCTCACAGCAGGTCAAGGCGACCCGGTACCCGCCAGGTGATTACATCGTCCTCGCGGTTACCCACGATTCCGAGGGGAGCGACACTTGCGCGGTAGCCTCTCCCCGAGGGGACGGCAAGCCGTCCACCCGGTGAGTGACTCCGCGCCACGGGCAAACCTAGGCCTTCACGCCCGTGGAACGACGTTTCCGTCGCCCCCCGGATCAGGCAAACGCTCCGGTCTGTATCGGACGCGTACGGAGCCCAACCCCGCACGCCACGCTGGCGACCGGTGTGGTTAGCGGACGTTCCGCCCTGGCAGTACCAGGCCCGAGAACCACCGCTGGGGACTAGCGAAACCAGGATGTGGTTTCGCTAGATTGACGGGCACAATCGGATTGTGCCCAAATTCAATTTTTATTACGATTTACAAGATGGCCTTCGTATTATTATTGTCGACCGTCTTCCGTGGGACAAAATTTATATTTTGAAAACATGATAATAATTAATAATTATTTATTCATTATAATCATTCTGTTCAGTGTGCTTTGTTTATTTTATTAAACGTTTTGTACTTTTGTACTGTCATTTGTCGGTGCACTATTTTATAAGTATATAAAATAAGTATTTTTACTATTTAGTGTATGGTGGCATAGTGTATAGTGATTAAAACCTAATTTATTAAATATTTTTATTATTTTTCATCTTGGGTACAAATGTTACGGTCGAGCATTTATTGAGTATCAACTTTTCAAGTTTATCTCTTGAGAAAAAAATTGAAATATAAAAAGAAGGTAGGCCAATGCCCAATTTAAATAAAATACAAATTAAGAAAACAAAGTCTAGAGAATTTAAAAGAAATTTTAATAAAGACGTTTATTCAAAATATGATTGGTTGTATGGTTGTTCTAAAACGAACCGTTTGTTTTGTTTTCCTTGCATACTTTTTTGTCGTACTTCTGGTGATAAAAATTGGTCACAAAACGGAATAAATGATTTAGCTCATTTGAACGATAAAATTAGTACACACATAAAATCAAGTTAATAAATGCGCATTTAAATCTTAAAATTTTGGGTAAACAAGATATAAGGCAACAACTTTCAAATGCATATAGGCTTAGTATACAAAAAGATAAGGAAACTGTAACCAACAACCGTTATATTTTATCTAAAATTATTGATTATATTAAATTTTCTGGTGCATTTGAACTTGCTCTTCGAGGGCATAGTGAGAAGTCAGATTCTGAAAATCCAGGGATATTTCGCGGACTTATTAATTTTAGTTCTGAATTGAATAACACTTTAAAATTACACCTCGAACATTCTACAGTATTTAAAGGCCTTTCTAAAATAATTCTAAATGAAATGTTAGAATGTATGCTATTTGTTATTCGATAAAATATTAAAAATGAAATAAAACACGCCGATTTCTTTTCTGTTATATCTGACGAAACAACAAATGTATCAGCATAATTTCAAATGTCTATAATATTTCGTTATATTTTATCCAATGGTACGCCAGTTGAGAGATTTTGGGGCTTTTTTAATCCATCTGGACATGATGCAAAGTCACTATCAGAGTGCATAAAATATAACTTAAAAGAAGTAACAGAAAACATGACAAATTAATCTCGCAAAGTTATGACGGAGCTGCTGTGATGAGTGGTCGACTTTCCGGCGTTCAAAAACTCATTAAAGATGAATATAAAAATGCACATTTGTTCATTGTTATGCCCACCAGTTAAATTTAATCTTAAGTCAAGCTACAATACACAACCGTGATGTAAGAATTTTTTTTTTCCATCTTGACTGATGTGACTAATATTTTTCTAATTCTCCGTAATGAGTTGCTGTTTTGGATAAAGTTGTTAACCATAGAATCCCTCGTTCATCGAATACTAGATGGAACTTCAAAGCCGTATTGTTAACACTGTGCACGAAAATCGTGAGTTATTAATAGAATGTATGGAAGAGATCGAAAATACATTTAATCAAAATATTGCAATTAATCAGGCGTGCGCTATACGCAGAATGTTAAATGATGAAAAATTTATATTTTGGTTAAATGTTTTTCATTGTTCAATGTCACATGTGGATATATTATATAACCAGTTGCAAAAACGGAAAATTGACTCTATCGAGGTGAAAAATGCCATTTCTCGATTTGAAGAAAATATTCAAAAAGAAAGGAAGAAATTTTGATAAATTTCAAAATTAAATGCCAGGTGAAGTAACTCAATGTAGAAGAAAAAGAAAACGTGATGATGATACACTACTTTCTAGAATTTGTGTTGCAAAAGAAGTCTGTGATATTCTTATTGTCTGCGTTAAAGATAGGTTCGAATATAAAGCTCATTTAAACGCGTCTTTATTATTTATATCCACTGAATTTCCTTTGTATGAAAACATTTTTTCACAAACATATGTTGATGAAACAATTGAAGTTTACCCTTTTTTAAATAAAAGTAAGCTACAAACTGAATTGGAACTTATATAAAAACAAACAGATTTTCGTAGCGTAATAGGTGCTGTTAATTTACTACAGTTTGTTATTGATAATAACTTGGAAGAAATATTTTCAGAAACATTTTAACTTATACGTATTTTTGCAACACTATCTATGACATTTGCAGAAGCAGAAAGATCGTTTTCGACATTGAAGAGGATAAAAACATTTCTTCGAAATAGTATGGCAAAAGAGCGATTAACAGAATTAGCGATGTTATCAATTAAAAAGAAAATGGTGAATTAAATACAAAATTTTAATGAAGAAGTCATCAAAGTATTCATGAAGAAAAAAGACAGACGGATCAATTTGGAATTCAAAAATATAACTACTGCATAGTATTATGTTATAACTTATAATTACATTGTATTATATATTATAACGGCATAATAATTATATTTAATATTTATTTTTAAACCATATTTTTATTTTTTTTTAATTACTTGTTGTGCTAGATACTTTACAAGCGTATAGGTTTTGGTATCAAAGGTATCAACAAACTTATTTAATTGATGGTAAGTTCAAAGTTGTCATAGGGGAAAAAAAGGAAATATTTGTGCCCCACCTTCAATGAACCCCACGAGCCGCCACTGATTATCGAAGATATCATTTATTCTTTTGCAGTATTCTATAGTTGGGTTGCAAATATTGAATCCAGGAATTTTATTTATTTGGCAATATGTAAAGGCATCAGCTACACTAGCACTCAATGTTTGAGCAGCAAGACGTTTTTTTATCTTCTCTTTGAAGAAATTGATATGTCTTCGACGAATTTTAGTTGCTAAATGCAAGCCTTCATTCTCTTGTAGTTCAACTAATTTATAAAAATAACTCCATTCAATTTTATCATTGTTTTGATCACATATATATATTTCAAGTCACCTAACGTGTTTCTAACTAACTTCAGCATGTGTGCCGCATTTAAAAACATGTGAATTGGTTAATTTGTTATAGGATGGTTAAAAGTAGAATTATTTGGAATATCAGCACCTAATTGTTTTTTTGCCATAGCAATATTAGGCGCAGCTCCATCAAAGGTCAATGTTTTTACTATGGCTCCAGTGTCTGATAACATCTCCAAACAAGTGTTGACTGATTTTGCCCTTTCAGGAGCATTTAAACCATCTATTAAGAAATAACCAACTGGAATTTTCCAGTGGGAATTTAACGCCACTATTTGTGGTTTTCAGTCCGAAATTAATATAACTTGGATGCATTTACCATTAAAATAAAGATCATCTCTTATTGACATTTAATCAACTATAATTGAAGGCGTCCGTGCAAAAACCAGACAGCAGCTCCATTTTTAGTAATTGTTCAGGAGCCATAAAAAACCATTTTAAAAATATTGAGTTTAACACATTCGTGGTCACTTCATATTTTTATATTATTCAAGTGCCTACCTTAAAGAATCACTCTTATATTACTGCTATAGCAGTAATATTTTAGTACTGCCATAGCAGTAATGACCTATTACGTATACATTTTTTACGCCATAGGTCATTACTGCTAGAGCAGTAATAATTTATTTAGCATTATAAAAATACTAATATTGAAATGATAACAAAACCTATTTTATAACTTATCAGAATATATTTTTATTATTAATAATTAGTTGTTTACAATATATGCAACTACTTTTTGAAAAGATTTTATACATTTTATGAGAAAAAAATACATTATAATATATATTATATAATATTATCCTTGTGCCATTCTTCAAAACATTTACCTGGGCATAAAGGTTTACCACAAATTTTGCATTGGAATGATGTTTGTTTCCTTATTTTCATCTTATAGCACTGCTTACAGTTTTTAAAGTATGTTTCTCTATTAAAATTTGGTGGAGGAGGTATTTTTTCTGAGTAATGATTATTTTCAGGTGCTGCTTTTTTGCTTTTTTTGTTTTTGAAAAGTTCTGCTGCAGTAATTTCTATTGGAAGACCAATTAAATTTTTGATGAGTAAATCACGGAATTGCTTAAAGGTAACATTTGTTACACCAAACTTTTTGTTAAAAATAAAATATGAATTCCAGGTGGATACATCGAGCAAATGAAATAACACCTTTTTATACCATCTAGCGGTTTTTCTGGGACACGAGTAATAGCTTATCATCTGATCTGAACGATCTATACCATTCATAAAATCATTGTAGTCCTTTATCTCTATTGGTTTATTTTTTTCGAGACCATATCTATTTGTTGTAGATACAATTTTTGGGTGATTTTTAGTTGTAATACAGAGCACGTCTCTTTTGTCTTTCCACTTTGACACATATACATGTTTATTCCGTCTCCATACATATTCACCACTTTTTAATTTTTTGGCAGTCACTTCCTTGGGATTTCCTTTGCGGTTGCTTCTTAATGTTCCCGTCGAGTGAGTTTTTTTTTCAAGCAATAAATTTGATAATGTGACACTATTGTAAAAATTATCCATATAAAGGCTATGCCCTTTATTTAAATACGGTTTCATCAAATGAAAAACAATACTGTCAACTTTTGTTGTAAAACCTTCAAGGTTAGGTTCAATAACTGTTGATGGCGTATTTTTACCTTTATACATATCAATATTTAAAACATATCCGTCATGTGAGCAGAGTTCGTAGAACTTAATTCCATATTTGGCTTTTTTGTTTTTAATATATTGTCGCCATTTTAACCGACCACGATGTAGAAGTAAAGACTCATCGAGAGATAAATTTTCATCAGGAAAATATAAGCTTTGGAACTTTTGTATAAGCATATCAAAAACAGGATAAACTTTCTTCATGGGACCAACTAATGGATTATCACTTGCATACTCAACACTAAAACATCTTAGTAATTTTTCAAACCTTCTTCCTGACATAATATGACGCACAATTGGATGATAATACAATGGGTTGTCTGAAAACATATCTCTTACGACCGAAAATTTTATAGAACCACCAAGAAGACACAAACCCAAAAAATTTTGAACTTCTTGCGAACAAGTTTGCTGAAAGTGTGTTGACCTGCTACCTTTTTTGTGAGGACGATCTTTTACTTTAATTTTTTCACCATAATTATTAATAGAACGTACAATTATATCAATAATTTCGTTGGTCCAAAATTGTTTGAAAATTTCAATCGGGTTATAACGTGCACTATCATTTATTTCAAATTGTATTCCAATATTATCTCTACAAAAATTGAAGTCTGGAATATCTACATACGTTTCTACCCAAAAATCAGTATCTGGCTCATCATCATTACCACTATCACTCGAACTTTCTGAAGCGGATTCGTCATCTGATGAAGAACATGACAATGATAGTGTATGCGATGGGCCAGCAGAAATAATATTACCATTATTACCTGTATAAATTGTTTTGTCGATTACTTTCGGTAAATATTCGGGGTCCGCATCTGAATCGTACAGTTCAGTAGTGTCGGAATCAAATTCTAAACTTTCATTCAAAAATTCTTCTATTTCTTGTTTAGAACGATTCATTTTTATAACACCAGAATATTGTATGTGAATAAACACTATGTACACAAATGTAGAAAAATATAATTCGAAAACACGAACACGAGTACGCTACACACGCAATAGACCATGGCCAACTAAAGACATGTGTAAATCAAAATATATTGTATAATTGTGTTTAAACAACATATAAACCGATAAAAATAATTAAATATAACATGATAAAATTCGAAGAAAATACCAACGAGAAATATAAAAATAGAATTGTTTTTTTATTTGTGCCCAAACATATGACTGATCATAACAGGTCAGTCACATATCTAGTTTCATTTAATACTATTGAAAATAGTACTGCATGAGCAGTAATGCCCGATTTCGTTAGTTTTGTAAATTACTGCTATAGCAGTAGTGACCCATTAAAACAGAATTGAAAAAAATTAAAATTACTGCTATAGCAGTAACTGACCACGAACGTGTTAAGATAAAACTAATGTTGATATCAATTTAGATATGTAAGACCACGATGAAAAATATGCCACAGTAGGTGATACGATTTTCGTTTTTGATTTGAAATTAGAGCTAATACTAACCTAACATTTTTGGAGTTACCTTGGTTTTTCCCCAGAAATTTTTGTTCAAATTTATATATATAATTATATTTTAATATTATTAACTCTAATTATATCAAACTTAGTTTCATTTTCTTAAACATAGTGAAATGTAGTAAATTAAGAGAGAAAGAATAGAAATTTGCAAGTACAATATTCAATAAATGATTTATTTCAAAATATTATGTTCAATATTACATTCTTTTTCATCTATTCAAAAATAATATAACATAATAAAACTAAATTCCTACCTTGAATGTAAAAATATTTATGTTTTTACTCTTCATAACTTGTACCATTTAAATGTTTACCCACCTATAATAACTATAATTAACATTTTTTTTAAATTTTATGTAAATAACAAAAAACCAAACAAAACAAAATGTAATAATTTTAATAAATTC